TGTGTATCTGTTTTTATTTGATCAGAATGAGGCTTAACCCTCTCAAATTTGGTAAAAGTGTCTGAAAATTTGTTAAAAATGCAGGTGTCATGTCAAACCTCTCCTGTGCTGGATGCTGTAACAATGACTTTGGTTACCACAAGTCCCAGGTGCAGCTGCTTCACCAGTGTCTACCCGAGGGCCACAGCTGCCGTTGTCCATGTTTAAGTCACCTGATGACTGGCGGTAAGTGCTCTGATTTCTGTGCCCTTGATACCAAGAATACTGGAGTCATTACCGTACATAGGGACAATGTGCACACAACTGCTGCCACCACCAACTACCCATCCCTGGCACCAAAGTTGCTGGTGTTTTATAGTTCAAAGGTCCCATGGGGGCTTTGGAGAAGGTACTGCGGCTCCTGTTGGCACTGCCTGTCATGGGTGTGTGCTAGAGGAGAATCTAAGGACAGTCATGTGTCATCCTGTCATTTCCTTCAGCCTTCCAAGCTTAGACAATTCATTCTCTTTCTATGCTGACTTCTTTCCTAGGAAGAGCCCTGTTGACTACTGTAACAGATTCCTAGCCCCACTGATCCTTTTTGCAATGTCCCAGCATGCTAAATTTCAAGTGGATATAATTTAGATTCAAGCAGGGATTCCATTACAAGTTTCAAAGCATTTATATTTTCAAAAACATGTTCTAAGGGGATTTAGCTCAGTGGTACAAGCACCTGCCTGGCAAGCATGAGGTTGTAAGTTCAATCCCTGGTACCAAAACTAAACCAAACCAAAACAAAACAAAAAAGCAACAACACCCCCCCCAAAGCATGTTTTAAAAAGATAATTTTTCTAATCTGGGTTATTTTTTTGGAATATCTATCTATCTATCTATCTATAATCCTAGTGCAGACAACCATGAAAACAAAGTTCTTTGGTGTCTCTAGGGATTATCTTTAAAATAAAAACGTAATAATGACTTTAGATACATGCAAAACATGTCTTAAATATAAATGTTGTTAGGACCCAGATGCAGGAAGTGAAATGCAAAACTTGCTGTGTTAGCATGTCAAAAAGCTATTAGGAGTCAAGCTGAATTAATATACAAGGAATCATATGCCAAGGAAAGAGACGGTCCATGATGGAAGCCAGCATCACAGAGGCGGATGTGTGGCTTTCTTGAAGCAGGAAAAACTCCCTTGGGACCACACACTTCATCCTTCTGGGAAGGGAAGACCTTTCATGGTGATGCAGCCACCAGTCCCCTATAATGCAAACAATCTTATTAAACTTCAGAATTTTAAAGACAAACATCTGATCTGATTCTCTTACCACTAAGTCAGTGAGTTACACCTGAGCTCCCCACAAATATCTGCTCTGTTTGGCAGCCAAATTTTTTACTTTGATTTTGATATTAGTCTTTTATAAGCAAGGTTAATGTGAGTCCATCCATAAAAGAAAGATTTACTCGCTGTGAGGAAAATCAACTATTTCAGCTTCTAAGCTTGACAAAAGGATTCTAGAGGTGTATGAATTCATTGCAGTATCAACACAGGAGGTCTTGGTGACTGAAACACCACCTTCCATCAATGGAAGTAACACAGCCACATCGGAACATTTAGAATACAGAAAGAAAAACAGCTATACTCTCAGCACTGGAGTTTCTGGGTTGCTGCTAACTTGTGAGGCATTTACAGGTAATCATTCTGCACGTGTGTTAGTCTGATTTTGCTGTACAATAAAATGTACAAAAAATACCAACCAGGTCACTTCTAAAGAACAGAAACTTGTTTCCTCACAGTTCTGGAAAGTCTAAAGCCCAGGTGCTTGGGATCAGTTCTGGGTTGGGGTTGCTGTTTCCTTCTTGTGGAAAGAAGGAAGGGACCAAGGTGGAAGGGATAGAGGGTGCGTCCTCCTGTGGCAGAAGGAAGAATGAACTCACTGCTCTGTGAACTCTCTGATTTCTGGAAGGTGGAAAGAGACACTACAGTGGGAATTACTGAAGAAAAAGCTCATGGGGATGACAGAACAGCCTGGTCCTGGAAGGAATAGTGGATCGGGCCCTTCCACAGACAGAGCAGCCCTGTGCTTGGGGCTCAGTGAGATTATATATGTTTTAAATGTTATTTTTTATATTTATTTTCTAAACGCATTTTTACGGATGCCTATTAGTCTTACGAAACATATTTCAATATGGTATTCGTGCATGCATCTAATGTATTTTGCCTCCATTACCTTCCTTTAAGCCCTTGCTTCACCCCTACCCTTCCTCTTGTCTAGGAATAATCTCCTTTTTGCTTGTGTGCCATCCTTTTTAGATTTCATGTATTAAGGAAAACGTGACACTCGTCTTTCTGAGTCTGGCTTATTTTGTTTAACACGATGCTGTCTAGTTCCACCCATTTTTCTGTGGATGACAAAATTTTATTCTTTCTTTTGGCAGAAATAATACCCTACTGTGAATATACACCATGCTTTCTATAGCCATTCATTTGCTGTCAGGCACCAAACCGAGGCTGGTTCCGCATCATGGCTACTGTGACTTGTGTTGTAGTAAGAATCAGTATGCAGGTGGCCTCGTGTGCTCTGGAAACAAGTGGAGCTCAGTGGGCTTCTCAGGGAAAGAGGCATCGAATAAAGGCTTGATTCAACTTTCCAGAGGATATAGGATCAAATGAGAGGGGGTATCCAGATTAAGTAAGATTTGGGATTCATTGATACGTAAAATTCAAGTTTTCTTTCAATACTTAAAAGTAGGTTAGATATATTGTGGCCATTAAATTTTTACTAGCTCTGGCAGGTTAGAAATATTAGGTGCTAATTTAATGTGTTAGCATACATACAGGTGTACTGGTGCACACAGTCACTGGAACAGAAGCGGAGGGGCAGTGTACTGTGTGTGGGAAGGGCTTACCTGTCCCCCTGGAACACTCTGGCTCTTTCAAGAACTTCATTCTCTCTGTGCATTAAATATGAGATGCTAGATCTACGCACATTTCTTTTAAAGGTTTCCTACCAATGATAAAGTTTTCACTGTGTAGTCTCAAAACTGTAGTTAGTTCATGTCCTTGATAAGGTTTTCAAATCTGAATCAAATTTATGATGATGGCAGAGGCTGAGGCAGGAGGATCGCTGGAAGTTTGAGGCCAGCCTGGGCTACATAGCAAGACCCTTTTTCAAAACCCAAACTCATACCAAAACAAATTTATGATGATGAGATTTCTGACTGCTCCATTATTTTAACTTAATCAAACTCCTATTGGAGCCAGAGCTGAAAGATGAAATCTGTCTCCTGTCAGAACTCTCAGAGGGGACACAAGGGGACAAAAAGCATGTGGGGATAGGGATGGTGCTGCAGCCAGGGCAGGGTGTAGAGTTGGATGGGAAAGGCAGCAGCAGCAGCAGCAGCAGCAGCAGCAGCAGCATAGGAGGACTCCAGGTTCTCAGTGCACAGGAGACAGAATAACAAGGTGTTCACCATAATTTAGTAATTCCGGATTCATTGTACATGATGAAGCAACTGCATTTTTGAGTACATACCCAAAAGAAAGGAGAGCAAGGTCTTAGAATAGATATATGTACCTCTCTATTCATAATAATCAAGAGGTAGGAGAAACCCAACACACATGGATGGATGAATTAAGTATGTGCTATATATACATCATGGAATGTTATTCATCCTCAAAAAACAATGAGATTCTGCTAAAACATGGATGAATTTGGAGAACATTTTGGTTAGTGAAATAAATAAGACAACACACACACAAATACCCTAGAATTGTACTTATATGGGATACTTTGGTTGTTAAACTGATAGATAGAAAATAGAATAGTGGTTACTAGAGGCTAGAAGGAAAGGGGGGAAATGAGTAGTTATTGTTCAATGGGTTTAGAGTTTATACTCAGGATGTGGAAAAAGTTCTGAATAAAAATAGTGGTAAAAGCTGCATTTTACACTTAAATTGGTTAAAATGGTAAGTTTAATTAATATATATACATATATATATATGTTAACTATTAACAAAAGATAAACTGAGATGACTAGCAAATGGAAAATAATGTTAGGAAAATAAAGGGCAGGCAGATAAGTTATTGCCTGTGGAGTTTGTCACACAGTGTGGGTCAAGGAAGGCGCACAACTATCTTGAGTTTTCTCAGCAGAGAAGACAGATAGCTTATGACAGCTATAGCTTTATGAGATAAGTTAACATTTTCTTGGTAGTAGCACATCAATGCCAGCATCCTGGGCCACTCCTTTTTCTCTTCCCTCCTTTCCCTTTCTCTCTCTTAAGAGGCATAAAGATATTTACTAGGCAAAATTTTAAAAGTATTATACACAAAGAAATAGAGTACAAGCGTTCAGGAGAAAGGTACAGTATAACCTAGAGCTGGGAATATTTATGTGTTTCCGTAGTGGAAATGTGTGGTTTGTGAATCTATGGAAAGTTTGGACTTGGTTTACAGGAGAAAAGGGCTGGCCCACCCACAGGCAGAAAGGTAATGGGTCGTTTTGCAGGAGGAGGGCACAGGCTCAGCCGGGGCCAATTCTTTTCTCTGGATTCACACGGTACACGCATCAAAAATAGCAGCAGCAGAATCTTCCATCCTGCGTGATTTTCCAGGCCTTGCCACTCCTACACAGACACGGAGTCTGTGCTCCTCTTGAACCTGGGCAACCTTGGGGTAGATCGCTGTGACTGATGGAAGTCGATGGAGCGATCTGGATGATGTGCTAGGCAACCGAGCTTTTCCTGGGCTTTCTTTCTGGGCACACATACCTCGAAATCCGGAGCCACTTTGCCATTGCCATACTGGACACAGTGCACCGGAGTGATGCAAGTCCCCTGTGATCACTGTGTGGTACAGAGGGAAGTTGTCACTGCTGAGCTCTGCGCTCATTTTCACGCACAAGTGGATTTCATTTGTTGCTCTAAGCACCTGTCTTTTAGCATGGTTTGTGTGTCTTACTTTTCTCATCAAATTGCCTGCCACTTAACGGAGGAGAGATATATTTTGACTCACATTTCAGTAGTCTCAGTCCTTGCGCGGTCAGCTGGCTCGAAAGCAGGTACGCGGAGCAGAAGGGTATGTAGAGAATGGCTGGGGCAGTGCTAACAGGAAGCAAAGAGTTAATATCCGGCTCCAGGCCATAGTGACCCGCCTCTTCCGACTAGGCCACAGGTACAGGAAGTAGAGCATTAACATCCGGGTCACACTCATAGTGACCTGCCTCTTCCGACCAGGCCACAAGTACAGGAAGCAGAGCATTAACATCTGGGTCACACTCACAGTGACCCGCCCCTTGGACCAGGCTGCACTGCTAATAGCAAGCAGCTGTAAAGCCATAGTGATCCCGTCACTCCCAAAGTCCCCCTCGCTCCCCCTCCGCTCTTGAGACTTTGGGGGAAGATCTTGATAGAAAGCACCACATTATGTGACAGAAGATAACTGAAACGGCTCGTGGAAAGAAAACTTAAAAACTGCAGCCTACTGTGTGTTCCTACATCCTGTGCCCAGTCCTTGAGGTTCAAGAGCTGTTTCTTCAAGGGATCTGGATCCAGGCCAAGCCGGAAGCCGGAGAGGTTCTCCTGAGGGTCTGCAGGGCCCTTAGACAAAGCAGGTTCAGTGTCACTGGAGGTTCCTGTTCATTTTCACGAATGTCTCCTTTCACGTCTCCTTGTGGGGTGTGCAGCTCATAAATTATCTTCAGTACAGACACATTTTCAGAATTTCTCCTTGAAAGTCATATAAACTTCCATAACTAGCATTCTAAACAAAACTGGTTTCTGAGTAGGGGCTTATGTTTGTTTAATGACAGACTATAGGGATGGTCAAGACTTTTTTGTTACAAAAAATAAAGATTTCAGATCTGTTGTTAGAGGGATGGAAAAATATTTGGAAGGTTGCATTCTTTCTCCCTTCTCTAATTAATGCCACTGTTAAATTTCATAATTGGTCAACTCTTGCAATATTGAACCCAGCCAGGGCAAGAATTTGGTGATTGAGTGAGCCTTTCTACAGGAACTTCTTCATTTCTTCTTTGCTACCATCGGAATTTCTGTTATAAATCCTTCAGCTACAGGAGCCAGGCTCCCTGCATCTGCAGGAGCTGGGGGAGGAGCAGAATGCAGCAAGCCATTATCATAGGTAAGAGTGCAAACACGACTTTGCATCTGGACCTTGCTGGTCTGACTACTGCATGCCTCTCACTAGAGGATGAGTCCTCACAAGCTGTGCAGGCTCTCTTTACCTCAGTTTCCTCATATACAGAATAGTGGTAGACTAACAGGAAATGAGCAAATTCCTAAGTGCTATAAAAGTTAACTGCTGCTGTTATGACTGGAATGCACATAATTAATGGGTACTCAGTGAAGTTTGTTGAGTGAATAGATGACTGTTAACTCTGCTGTGCTCTAGAGTTCCCCTTTGTACAATGTTCTTTTTTCTTTTTTGGCCCAGGGATCAAACTCATGACTTCATGCTTGCCAGGCAGGTGCTTATGCCACTGAGCTAAATCCCTCCTTTGCAGCTCCATTCACCTTGGGCTTTGAACATATTTTGTTGGCTCACAGATTGGCTTTCCAGAATTCTAAGGGTTCACGTTTTTCTGCCTCTTCTGACCTTGGTCCTTTTAATGTTACCAGCTCACCCACATATGGGCATATTTAAGAGCACACAGAACACGCCCTTTTCTGCTCCTTGTCCAGGCCCCCTCTGGCTTACATGCTGTTCCTTGTTATCTCTCCCCTATCCATGGTCACTTACCGGGTCACCGATACACATTGCTTCAATTCACAGATGTTATCTGCTCTGTTCAGTATCCAGCTTGCATCCCTTGGGATTTTTCTGCTTCTCTTTGTCTGTGAGCAACCTGTCCTGTCCTGGTGACCTCTGTCAGATGGACTCACTTCAGAGTTCTGAGGGACTGCAGGACACTGTCCCCCCCTCCAGGGCCTATTAAATGGGGATCCCGCCCTAACCCCTTTGGAAGCCTTTGTCTCCATTTGTTTAGAGATATGAGTGAGAAAAACTTTTGGTTTGTGTTTCTGTCACAGCTCTAAATTTACCCTCATTGTGTTTATTTAGCTATATTTTTGTTCTGCATTTTACATTAAGAGAATTTTGATCCAATGGTTGAACATTATTGTGTTGTACGTGATGGAGGTTGGGTCTGTCTGTCCTAGATTTGTGTCCTGGGTTCTTGATGCAGTCTCTACCTTTTGAGGATTCAGGAGCTGCTTATGGAGTTAGGAAGTGTGTGGAATTGAACATCTGTGGTTGAGTCATCATGTCTCACGGTTTGTATCAGTCTGCTCAACTCTGCCTTGAGAGTTCCTTTGCGCTTAGATTTCCATTGTGTCCTCGAATGGCATTGGCCCAGGTGTCTGAAGACCTTGACTTGTGCTTCCAACCCTTGGATGCTTCATTTCCGTTCTTTGGAGTCACAGAACCATTGAGCAACCATGGCTTTGTAACAGTTGGGTAACGGTAGTCTTGAGAACTTTCTGGTCCTGCCCATAGCTAGTCTACAGGAAGACTCGGTGTAAATCCTAAAGGTGTGCCTGCCTCTAGGTGAACACAGCCTGTGCCAGTTCATTCTTGAGCGGAGCATGGGCTGGATCTCCATGACTGTCCTCCTGGCTACTGGATGTCCTGGCATTGGCCTCAGACTGTGCAATTATGCTTGGTTATGCCCATTGTCTTTTCTGCCATCTTTACTGTGTTAAAAGATACAAAATGTATCATTTTAACTCTTAAGTGTAGAGTTCAGTGGTGTTAAATGCATTTATAATGCACAACCATCACTGCCATTCATCTATATAACTCAACCTAAAACTAAAACTCTACCCTACAACTGTAACTCCCCATTTCTCTGTCCTAACCACAGTTCTATTGTTTGGAGGCTTCATGACTATTAGAGTTTACTTTGTAATGTAAAATGTTACATGTATGTGTCCTGGGACTTTTGTTGGGGATAAGATCTGTCATCTGTCATTTCTCACTTCCATGCCTTTGGTCAATCTGTTTCTTTCCACAGAGGATCGGAGGCTGATTAGATAACAGAATCATGACTAACATTTGCATAGCTCTTTTCCACTGGCCTAAATTACTTCATTCAGCCTCATAATGGTCCTAGGAGATGACTGTCTCATCTATCTCAGACAAGCAGGTACCCCATAAGTGAGGGAACTAGGATGGAAACCTAGAATTTCTAATTTAAATTCCTGTTTTTTCCCCCTATCAGTATCATACCCTCTAATCAGCTTGCCACTATAATTAAATAAGATATGAGAACAGTTTTTTAATTTTTATATTGTATTTCAAAAACTGAAATTGCTTTTTTACAACTGAACCAGCACAAAAATCCCCTTGTATTCTAAGCCCAATGGAAGCATGCAGAGTTGCTCTTCTCTCGGTTGGTGTGCTGGCTTTAACACTTAGAAAATTTAATTTAATTTAAATGTGAGAGAAACATCCCATTCAACCAAGAGAATTCCTATGGATTCCGTAGGAAGGAGCTATGTTCAAAGGGAGAGGAGGGCAGCATTAATATCTGGAGCTTAAGTCATCGCAATCGCTTATTGTGGCAACTGTGTATTACTGCACAAATCCATCCCGTGTGGCCTTGTACACGGGGGATTTCCATAAGCAGCATGATTGCTGAATACAGTTGGATTTTAGGTAAGTCTTACACATCCGTTTCACATCATTTTTGTTATGGACTTCAAAGGGCTCGTGAAACACTAAGGAATTGAAATGATACCTAGCTCGTATCAAAGGAGCAGGAGCACTGCACTGGAGGTTATGAGAAATATGAGCAGGGAGATATTTTAAAGTTGTACACATGCCACTCCATACCCCAACCCTGGGCTTTGGAAATCATCTAAATATATTTACCTTGAAAACATATGTTTCCCTGATTTCTTTGCTGAAACAATGCACACAGTTCAAATAGAATTTTTGTTGTTCAGAATACGCTTTGCAGTTTTCATTTTAGTGATATCAGGTTTAGGGAAACTTCATAAGTGAAAATGGTATCTTTTTATAATTTCAGGCCTTGAGGCATTTCTCCAAAGGTATAATAAGGTCATGGATGCCACGTCTTCCCTGCAGAAGTGCCAAGATCATGAGACGTACAGAGCTAAGGGAGCATGGGGTTGTTGGGCTTGCTACTGAACTAACTGTAAGAGAGGGACAGGTCCCTTCTTGTTGTTAGGTAATGGGACAAACACCCACACTCTAGTCTAAATTTGGCAGCTGTTTCTCAGGAGACATTGATTTATGGTGACACTGGATCTAGACTACAGAGAGCATGAGAGCCCATATGGTGCTTGGCATTTGGGCAAGAAATGTGATTTATGTAGGCACTGATGGTTTTAAACTCAGAGTTATGGAATTATTTTAAGGATGTGAAGAAACTTCAGGCTCAGTCCAACAGTTAGTCCAAAATGTTTGTTTTCTATGAAGAAGTGATGCTGAGCCATTAGTTGACTTACCCAGTGTTCATGCCAGAGACTTTCAGATATTATGCCTGCCCTTAACAGAAGGTTAGATTTATTTAGAACTTTATTTACATGTCAGGGCTGTAACTTCTTCACTATTTCATTGGATCTTGAAACCTATCCAGTGTAACCCATGTGCCACAGTGGGGTGTTTGCTGTCATTGAAACTCTGAAAGGTTCCCCATCCCCAGTCTAGATACTTTACTACTGTTAACCCATCTTACAGATGAGGAAACTGAGGCTTACTGAGGCCACAAAAGACTTTGACCCAAACCACACTTTGATCCAGAGCTAGGAGGTTCACCCTGTCTCATTTCAGAGACTGCCTCACAGCCACCACCTGCGAGTAGCGCCCCTTGGTGGGTCTCTGCTTAGGAGACTTGCACAGGAGTTCCCCTTGAATATTATTAGTCCAAGGGACATAGCTGAGGGGTCCAGACAACACTTCACTCTCCAACTGCTCACTGTCTCCGTCTTCTTTCCTTTCTTTAAATTGGTATTTTAAATACTATTTTGTCCTCTAGTCTTATTATTTTTATTTTCTGGTACTGGGTCTCGAACTCACGACCTTGCGCTTGCCAAGCAGGAGCTAATGCACTGAGCTAAATCCCTGGCCCTCCTTCCTCTTTCTTATACCCTCTCCTGTTGCTAGCT